ACTGTTATAAACAAATAGCAAGAATTGAACAAATGATTGATTAATGTTTACCTTGAACTTAAGGTACTTGATGAATTGACTGTGAGTATGAATTTTATGCCATTCAAAATCAGTTGTTATGAAAATATTCTTCATAATGAAAATAATGAATTCAAAATAATGATGCAAATATAATTTGAAAATAAGTTTTATTGCAAAACTTACACTGGAACTTACAATTGAGTCAGCAAATAAGAAAGTGATTCATGAAAAGGATAATGTTGCATGCTGGCATTCTTGACATTTTAAAACTAAAAGTGTTTATAATTTTTTATTTCTTTGGATACAGTGTGAACTCAAAGAAACTTTTGATTGAGAAATTGTGAAAGTTCCAAACTTTCCCCTTTCTCCTCCGTAGTCCACTTCTTATAGACTTGAAAAAGGGCTTGGAAGACTTGCTTTTACTATTTGATGAATGATGACTTGCTTTTCACTATTGATGAACAATGAAAGTTGTTGGAATAATTGCTGCTTTTACTGTGGAAGCACAGGATGAATGATTGAATGACTCCAAAATTTGTTAGAATCATTGGTGGGAACTTGCTAGCTGACTGAATTATTCCATGGAATTATTGGTGCGAATAATGCTTGAACACCTGAACACTTCACATGGTTGATTTTGGAAAAATGACTGAAATTTTCACATGACCTTATGCAAATGGGTCTTGGGAATCTTGGTAGTCCACCCACTTGGCTAACTGTGTTTTTTGGCTTGTTGAGTTGGTTGGTTGGTGTGAGGATGTGTCTGAAGATTCGAATTTTGCAGCTTCTTCTTCTTCAGTATGAAGCATTGCTGCTTCTGCAAGTAATTTTTGAGGTAGGTCTTTGAGCTGGGTGGCTTTTTCTTTGCCTTTTGAACTATTTGACTTGGATGACTTGGCTATTCCTTTGAGTGATGATGATGGACTAAAGTCCGATAATGACTGTTTCGGGATGATTAGCAGAGATGGATGTATTGGTTGTGCCGGAATGATTGGAGGTGGAGTAATGGGATATTTGGTGAGGACCTAACTGATGGTCTTTTGATGGTTGAATTTATCCCACCACTTCATTGATCTGGCTTTGTAGACTTCACCTGTTTCGACTTCATAATTCCACTTCATGATCCATATGACTTTATACTTAGCCATGAATATTGTGAGAAGTGTAATTCTGTAGTTGAATTGGTTTTTTGTCAAATTTTTGTTGGAAACTGGCAAAGATGACCAGCATAAGTTCTGGTAGAAGACTGGTTGTTGGGTCGTGAGTTGACCACCATATTGGGAACCATGCAGGAAAATTTAATTTGAAACTCTTGTCAAAATTAATGAACCATGAATGACTAAAGTCTTCTACTTGATGGAGAAAGATGTTAGTCCATGCATCAATATAATCAAAGTAATTGTAGTTGTTATTGAGAATGTGGATATATTGGTATGAAGAGGTTTGGTTTTCTAAAGGGGGATTCCCCAATCTGATTCGTTTAAAAACCTTCCAATGTAAAGAGAATGGTAGAGGATTTTGTTTTCATGGGTTTTTCTGTAGAAAGGTTTGATTGAAATGGACTCAGTTTCATTGAGGATGGCTTGATAATATTTCAATGTTTTATGTGGTTCTGTAGGATGATAATGGAAATTGGGTGGAAAGCCTATATTGGCTAATTTTTCTGGTGCTTGTTCTTAATTAAGATTGAAAGGGATACTGAAAAGGTATTCACTGGGGTTTTTATTGACATATGGTGATGTTTTGGTATAACTGGCTGATTGGGATAATGATGATTGGTATGTTGGGGTTGAATAGGGATCATATTGACTGACTAATGCCGTTTGACAATTGGGACCTGGTGTTTGGTAGTTTAGCCTATGGTTTCCTATTATGGAACCTAAGGAAGTGAAATAGTTGGTAATGGCTAAGGCCGATGAAGAATTTGGGCTTGATTCTTGTTTTACTGGTGGTGGTGGTAGAGTGGCTGGAAGCTTTCTTTGATATATATAGAGGTAGGGCCAGCTTGAGAATTTAAGGGTTGTACGAGTCTTTAAAGTGAGGCCCTTTAGTTCTCTGACCCTCGACCCTTTGTACATTAATATGTGTATAAAAAAACATTTGCTAAATACATGAAAAATCTATTTAGATTTTTCTACATCAAATATTATTAAAAATTAATATCAACAGAAGAAAGATATACAAACATTACTTAAATATTTTATGTCTAGCTTTTTAAATGCAAATGTCAAGTTTACATAATCTAATTTTTCAAATAATTCTTTTTCAGTTGATAAAATAGCTAATCTATTCAATCTTTCTTTGTGACATAGTGGATTGAAGATAAGATTTGATCAACTTTAATTGTGAAGAACTTCTTTTTGCAGATGTAACAATAACTGGTTTGGTTAAAAAAATTCCATAAGCAAAGACTCAAAGACTCAATGTCTGTAAACTTCTTATTTCAAAAGACATAAAGTTCGTAATATTAATTTTATATACAAAATAAAATAAAAATTGGGGGCCCCTCCGGAGTGGGAGCCCTAGGCCGCCTGCCTACTTTAGCTACCCTCAAGGTCGCGTCTGGCTATAGGAGAAGGATGTAGAAAATTTGGTATTGAAGGGCTGAACCTCATATTATTCATGTATTTGTTTTAAAGATTGTGTTCACTGATTTTTCCTCAGAACTTGTAACTTAATGCTCCCAAGCTTTTATCAATAGCTATTATTGTCCCGTCATTAGAATTTTTATACCTTATATGCGTTTTCAATTAGGGGAGAGGTTGTAATATGGATCATCAACTTATTGTAAACCACATTTAAAAAAAATATGAGATGTGAACATTTTGTAAAACATATTTAAATCATGGCTCTCTTGGAGCATCTCCATCGGTTGGTAGAAGGTAAGAGGAAAGGCCTAAAAGATGCCCTCTAACCCATAAAGCAACCACCACCAGTCCAAATTTGCAAGGCAACTGGTGGGCTATGCAAAACGTATCCAAATGCCCGAGCAAGATGTGCCCAGCCTTTTGTCAAGGTGTTGGCTAACGTCAGCATGATGAAGGTAGTGCGCTATCAATTGTTGGTAAGTTTACAAATTCTCAACTTTTTTTTTTTTTTTTCGATAAAGTATAGAAGTATTAATAAAAGTATATATTATTTTCATATTATCAATATTATTTTAATATTTTCCTATTTGTATACAATCTATAATTTTAAGGAGGATAATGCTAGGGAGACTAAATTTTTAAACCAAATTTTGTAAACCAAATGATATGGTTGTTGAAGATTGAATTATTACTTAAGTGTTGATTAACATGCTTAGTTTTTAGTGGTGACACATCATTTGGTTTAAAAATTTGGTCTCCCTAGCATTATCCTTTTGAGGACATTAATGACAAGATGGCCAAATATGGGTAGTTCGCAACCCGATACCAATTGTGGAAGATCGAGCTCCAGAAGCATTATGAGCTATATGATGATCCGAAGACCACTCTCCTAGAAGGCTGCCTTGAGGAGTTGGTGGAGCGCCCAGAGAATTAGGAGTGGCTCTGCAAGCATTTTTAGGAGCATAAATATTTGGTAAGCTTAATAATAATATTTTAATAATAATTTATTAGTAATTTTTTATTTTTTTTTAATGTTTTGCTTCAAATAGATGCACTAATACGTTGATCTTGTATTGAATGGAAGAGAGCTAAAGCCAACAAGATCAACCAGTCAAAAAGAAACTTGTCCACTAGTCCGCTTCGAGACCTTTTTCCGGTAGGCTAGAGCAGCGATGGAAGGTAAGTGTATATTATTCATTTTTAATTCTAATAAATATTAATCTCTATTAGGATTAATAACATTTTTCTTAACTATTTTTTTTATTCTAGGACAATTCTAAGTTCCCAGAGATCGACATGTTCAATGAAGTCTATGTTTGACCGAGTGATGACATTATTAAGCAACTCCATGTAAGTATATATAATTGTTAAAATTCTTACATCTATAAGTAGTATAAAAAATAATTAAAGATTGGTTAATATTAATTTGTTTTTCTTACTATTGCAGGATACTATGGTGAAGAAGAGTAAGACTGTTATCAAGGAGGTGGCATCGTAGCTTCCCCTAAAGACCTCGATCGAGGACGTGACTCTTAGCAAGGAAGTAGGGCTTCAAATCTTGATTGAGACCCTGGATCACACCCTTGATTGGATGCTTTGTAAGGTTGTATGGGGGATGGGTATGTGCGACATTGTAACACTACTGTCACATCTTCTAGATAGGTCGCTGAGTTGACGCAGGAAGTTGCAAACATGAAGTAGAGGCTTGCACCCCAGAGGGATAAGATGACCTAGATCTTACAAGCCTTTCAGTTGTTCGACTTCCAATTTCCACCAACTTCTCTTCAGCCACCAGCTGCTCCTCAGCCACCTTTAAGCTTCGAGCCCTTCCATCCAGAAATACCCAACAGGCCGATGCAATAGACTTCAACAACCTTCTTTTGTAGTTTATTGTATATTTGGATATTATAAGAACATTTCGACTTGTATGAACTTATGCACATATAACAAATAAATTTTTTTGTTTATAGTTTATAATTTAATTAAAATAATTAAAAAAATTAATTAAATTATGTAATCTAATAAAAAATTATAAATAAAGGAAATAAAAAATAAAAAAACAACATTTACTGTGATAACTCGTCCCTAATTTTACGATTTTATAAATTTTAAAAGTGTAAATTGACGACAATGCCCCTAGAGGCGAGATTGTTGACCTTCATTGATCGTCTTTTTGCGACACGTACGAGGTACTATTTTACCGTATTCTCGAAGTGTTCGATGGTACGAACGCATAGGTGTAAGCGAAACTAAATTTGGAGTTACAATGAAGATTTTATAAACTACGGAGCATGACGGATGTTTTGGTAAATTCACTTTATGGGAGATATTTTCTGTTTCTTCATTAGTGACTTTGAGTTGTGTGCCAAGTGGGGGCATACGCACTATTCCTTCACCTATCTACTGTGTTTCCTTCTCATCTTTCCACCATCTTTTTTTGCCATCCCATACCGTTTCTCTATCTCAATGCACTATCTCTTTTTCCCCCCTTTGACTCTCAAACTTTGCACTTTCTTTTTCCCTTTATCTCTCCCAGTCCTTTAACCTGTCTTATCTGCAAATGTAAGAACGACCAACGACGAAGCCGTCGTACCGATCGAAGATAAACTGTACCAGAGCACCACCACCCGTCCATTATGGTTTTCTAAACTCCCTCATTTTCACTCTCTAAACTCTGTGCCCACTGCACAAAAACATGAATAGTGATCATCTGCCATGGCCGACTCTAGCGAGGTTGACATACCACCAGGCTATCATCGCTTCTCCTTTGTGAAAACCCAGGAATCGGACACAAAACCTTGGACCCTTTATTTCAGCTCCTTATCTTCTCCACTACATAGAAAAGTTAAGCCGAGACTAGCATCGCCATTTTCTTCAGCGAGTTTACTTAGAACCCAACGAAACCAAGAAATGCATGGGGAGGAACTTCCCAGATTTTCCGGCTACTTTCGAGCTGTTTTCCAACCAACTCCAGCCACGGCCGAGGAAACCAAAGGTATATAACAATTCCTTGTTCTTTAAGCTTCGATTTGATATATGGGAAGGCTAAGTTTAGTGAAGTTTTTGGTTGGTTGGAGCCGGGGTTTATCCTGACCATTATTTTTCTAGATTCCGACGGTTACAGCGGCAACTGGCCTAAGAAGAATAAGAAAAAAAAAAAAAAAAAAAAAGGGCGCCTTAGGCCCAAAACCCTGTCCAAAGTCTTTGGGCTAAATATTTAGCCTAACCGGGCCAAACCTTTAGGCTGATGTTCCAGCCCAGCCCAGTTCCAAAATGAGCTTAGAATATTCTGGGAATATTCTTGGAATATTCCACATGTTGACTTTTTAGGAATTTTCTCGAAAATTTTTCTAGGCTAATTTTGGCTCCTTAAGTACATTTTTGGTATCCATTTAGTGAAATTCTAAAGTTTTAATGTAGTTGACCATCGGGGCTTCTCGGTTGACTTTTTTAGGTTAACTGTTGACTTTTCATTGACTTTTTACGAAAATTGCCCGGGACCCTTCTTAGCGTATCTCGATGCTCTAATTCCAAATCCACACTTTGTTTTCCCAAATTTAATCGTTTTAGTTGAGTTTTACTAATGGGTCCCAATATTATGTTAGGTGCGATTAATTTTAGAGATTCCAGCTATCCTAGCTCGAACGGCTGTGGCCTCGCAAGTATCAGTGAGTGGATCTTTACTTTTAAATATTATATACTTATTTAGTTTCCATTTATACATTTGAAAAAGAACTTCCTACGTATGTCTAGATTAGATTAATGTTTGTAAGAATTAGCGAAATAACGCAATTTATGAAATTATCCTAAATCCTACGGGATGCACATGTATGCATATTATTAAGGGATGCCTCATTTATATTTATAGCAGTGAATGGTATTATGTTGGCGTAAGTTATTGATTTACCGTTGTATGATTTTGTTTACGTTATCTGCTCATCTTTGCTACACGGTGTTAGTACTCGCCCAGGCCATGGCTAGGCTTCCATGTGTGCACATCGCACCGTACGCTCAATTTGGATCCATTGTAGGTGCCAGTCTTGTCCTAGATTGCAATAGGCAATTAGGACTCGTATGTGTTGTGCATAGTGCTAGTCTTCACATGATTGTAGTACTAGAGCATATATCTTCGTTACACCCAGTTCTGTTTATGTCAGAATATCTCTGCATAAACTCATGTGTCAGCATGTGTCGATGAGCACTTGATATGATACGTTTGCTTATGTGAGGTTATGTGATTACAGATGTCATATGCTTACTTACGAAATATTGTGCCATATTGAATTCTTGAGGTTTTGCAGGTTGTGGTAGTATTTTCTTACTATACGTAGTATGTATATTTTGGAAATTCTACTTGATTTACGGCGAGGGGTTATAATGTTTTCAAAAAGGTTTTTACAAACTTTATTTTTAGGCCCACTCATCTTTGTTTTTCACCCCTCCAAGTTTTAGTTGCTGAGCTTTCGTATCGATAAGGATTCTTGGCAAATCTTGGTATTGGAGATTACCTTCGATGGTATAATTCTTATCCTACTTTACTGTATTTTTCTTATGCTTTAACATCGTGTGTGAAATTGGTTCATTTTTGCTCACAATTACATTCTTATATTTAGGCACTTTAGGTTTAAATTTATTCACATTTTTCACATCACTACACTTTATGGCTTCGTCACCCTCCTGGTGTCGGCTAACACGGCTCGATTCAGAGTCCAGGTGGATATTTCGTGTTATGGTATGTCAGTTTGGTATCAGAGCATAAGTTTGGGCAGTACTACACTCATCATACGCTTGATGTGAACATTCTTGGTTCTTGAACCTAAGTGTCGAATCTTGCCACCTTACCGAATATGAAAAATGTGTTAGTTTTTCCCTAAGTTTTGGGTAGTTTAGATGACTTATCGATGTTCTAGATGAACATTTCGGCGACCACCTCTAAATTTTAAACAAAGAACCTTCTTGCCAAGGAAAATCCTGATTTGGGAATGAGCTTGTGGCCCTGAAGCAAGGCTATGTGTCGGTAATTGCGTACCATCGAAGACTCTGTTCATCAATTCCACTACTATTATCTTGTCATCTTTACCAACCCTTTCGAGATAGGAAACCTGAAATAGTTTTGATTCCTTGTTAGTACCTGTTGGAATACCACCTATCAGAATTCCTATGAAGTTTACTTTTTGTCGAAATGTTTGGAAATGTCTTGAGTGAAAATGTGGTGCTAAAGTCGTAACACTCGACAGAAGAACTTCTAGGGGACAGTCACCTTTGGTCCCCGACTTTACAAATCTTTCAAGCGTATTCAAAATTTCGGATCTTCAGGAGGAAAATCGATTTCCATTTGTCTATTCTAAAGTAGGTTATTAGCAAATCCTTTTTCCGGCCTTCGAACATTTCAACCAACATTATCCCAAAATTCCTTTTGATGTTGTACTCATCATTTCGATGAGTATAGGCTTGTGAGTACTAGTTGTTATACCTTCAGGTAGTAGAAATTCCAAAAGTAGTAATCAATTTTCCCTAGAATTAATGAAACCACCTCACATGACTAGTTCCTTACCAATCGTCCGAAACCATCTACCAAGTGGGCTCTAATATGTAATCAGCCTACGGTGACACCACTAATTGACGATACTGTCTAATATCCAGGAACTGTTAACCAGTGTTCAGGCAGTATGATTTCTGATACTGGACACAGGTACTAGTATCTGGGAGTGATACCTTTATGCCAGAAAGACAGTTCACAGTTTCAAGGTAGCAAACTATATCAAAATATCATATGTGCGTTAATTAGCAGGACGACTGATATATCGATTAACAGTGACTATCTGAGCCGAAGAAATTAAAATAGTGGAAACTTAAGGGCAAGCCTTGTAGGAGGATAGTAAACCCATAGTTGGTTTAACCACATTACCCATTTAGGTAACGTGAACATTCTTGACTAGTCATCCTTAAGGTCACTTTCACAGACAAACATTAGAATCAGAGCACGAGTTAAATTCCAGTTGTAAGAGCAAAATGAGTATTGAGAAAGTTACGAAAACCTTTTATTATGTGGTGTATAGAGAGGAAGTAGTATGTAGGTCTAGCAATTTCTGACATGACTCGATAACCCAACACGACACGAAATTAACAGGTGTTCGGGTTGACACGATAACGAATCGAGTCGTTATCGGGTAACCTAATAAGCACCTGTTAAGATAACTGGTTGGTTTGAGTATACACGTGAGTAACACAATACACGATAGGCAAAATATTAATTTAATAATTTTATAACCCTAAAAAAAATACTATAATAATTATATATATTAATTTAACAATTTATACCCCTAAAAACTATAATAATTATATATATATATATATATATATATATATATATTAAACTAAATTTAAAAAATTGATGACCATTGGATCGGCTGAGATTTAATCTCAGCCGTCCATTGTATATTAGGTTGGAGGCTATCCTTTTCTTCTCTCTCATTCACTCTGATCTCTCCAGTCCAAACTTATTCCCCCACTGTCTCCTTAATCCCCATCTCTCTCGCATCCTTCTCCTTTCACTTCATTCAACTCGACTCCGACAGCCACAAGAAAACCACACACAGGCAAGCACACGCTAAAGGTATGAATTTTGTATTTTTGGGTATTTTATGTTGTTTTCAAAAACTAGTGATTTGGGGTTTTGTTAAAATTAAAACTAATGGCTGGGGATTTTCTGGGGTTTTCTGATTTTGAAGATTTTGGAGTTTCTGGGTTAGGGCATGTTTACAAACATTCAAAAAACCCAGCGATCAAGCAAGCGTGCTTCGCGTTGGCTTCGCAAGCTTGAAAATCATAAAAGGATGAGGCAAAAATAGAATCAAGCATTGGAATTTGGGAGTATAGATGTAGTTATGTAAATTAACTTTATTATGTCATGCCATTTAGTCTTATTGTAAGCCGTAAGGTGAGATTCATTACTTAATGTCATATATATATATTGGGGATATGTTATCAGGGCACTGGGGAGGTCAGAATTCAGGTGGCTTGTGAGGCAGGCAACGATAGAATAGTGATGCCCCACCTATTTTAGTTTTGCTATAATAGATGCAATGTCTTAATTATTTGTCCCAAGTATTGACAATTGTTAGGCATGTATTTTTTTTTATATTATGAATGCTGCGAGTTCATTTGTATCTATATTTCATTGAGGGTCTATTTACTTGAATTTAATAAGTGGGGTCTATATTTGTTTTCCAGATTTGGAGATTTGGAACAAGCAAAGAATTTAAGGAAGGTTGCAACCTGCAAGTGCAAGATATTTTTAATTGAATTGTGAATTTGAAAGTAAATTTGAATTGGATTGTGATTTGTAGATATGTGAATTGGATATGTGAATTTGAAATAGATATAGATAGGTGAAATTGAATTGGATTTGTGAAATTGAAATGGATATATGAAATTGAAATGGATATGTGAATTTGAATGGATATGGATATGTGAAATTGAAATTGAAATGCATATGGTATGAAATTGGTATGAGCAAGATTTTATAGTTTTGTTTTTCTTTCTTGAAGCAATGGATGTTGTAGAGCAAGATTTTACGAACCTTAGGGTCAATGGAAGTTACAATGGGAATACAACTTAATCATGGAAGTGAAAATACAAAAGATACAAATAGAAGTCCGACAAAGAAAAAGGCTAGAGTAATCAAATTAGGTAAGCGAACACTTAGGTCTCTTGTTTGGAAAACGTTCAACAAATTGACTACTATTTTTGAAGATGGTAAAAGTCATGCTCAATGTAAAGATTGTAAGAAATTGGTAATAGATGATAGTCATCATGGGACGGGTAATATGAATAGACATTTGAAAACATGCCCTGGACCAACTGGTGGATTATTGTCAGTGTCTGAATTATGTTCTCAAAACTTTGATGCTTTGGTATTCCATGGCTTATTGGTAGAGGCTATCATCAAGCATAATCTTCCTTTTAGTTTTTCAAAATATGAGGGAATTAGGGCTTTGTTTGCATATATATCTCCTGATATTAAGTTACCGTGTAGAAATACAGTTAAAGCATGTGTGTTAAGGATGTTCAAAAATGCAAAACAAAGGCTTCATAATTTGTTAGGCTCAGTTGAAGGTATAATTTGTTTCAGACTTATGGACCTTGCAATATACTAATGGGTATCTTAGTCTTACTGCTCACTTTGTACACAAAGATTGAAAATTCCATAAAAGAATTTTAAGTTTTTGTCATATGCCTCCTCCGCATACCGGTGTTGCATTATCTGAGAAAATTCATGCATTGGTGACTGAGTGGGGGATCGAGAAGAAGTTATTTTCTATTACTTTGGATAATGCTTCTTCAAATATTTCTTTTGTTAGCATTTTGAAGAATCAATTGAATCTTATAAGTCTTCTCGTGATGAGTGGTGACTTCTTTCATGTGCGTTGTTGTGCTAATGTTTTAAATTTGATAGTCTAAGATGGACTTAAAGATATTGATTCTTCGGTGATAAAGATTCGTGAACGCATCAAGTACATAAAAGGCTCTGAGGCTAGGAAACTAAAGTTTTATGAATGTGTTAGACAAGTAGGGATATTGGATAGTAGAAGAGGTTTGAGACAAGATGTCCCTACTTGATGGAACACAACATATATTTTGCTAGATAGTGCAATTTTCTATCGATATGCTTTGATTCATTTAGGGTTGAGTGATTCCAATTTTAGTAATTGTCCTTCTTTTGAAGAGTGGGATAAAATAATGAAGATTTCCAAGTTTTTGGGGGTACTTTTATGAGGTTACATGCTTATTCTCGGGGACAAAGTACCCCGCATCAAATTTGTTCTTCCCTAAGGTGTTTGTAATCCAACTTCAAATTAAGGTAGCCATGGATGACTTTGAAAGTTTCATGAATAAGATGGGGGCTTACATGTACACAGTTTGAGAAGTATTGGTCAGAGTACAATTTGATTTTGGCAATTGCAATCATCTTAGACCCTCGTTATAAATTGCATTTTGTGGATTGGGCTTACATAAAGCTTCATGGTGTGAATTCGGTCGAATTTACAAAGGTTAATGACAAATTGAATGTTTTTTTTGGTGTGTACTTGGAAAAACTTTCACATCTTGATAATTCAAATACTCCAGTGAATTCAATGCCTAATCATCAAACATAATCTAGAGATGTTCTCTTTGAGGTAACCTAAGTTTGTTTTTATTTACTTTATATATTTGTAGTAGTAGTACTATAAAAAATGTTGATAAGTATTTGGAGGATAAAAGAATAGATAGAAAAAGTAGACATAGATGTTCTTTCTTGGCGGCAAATGGAGCGTTTTCATTATCCGATACTTTCTCAGTTAGCACGATATGTGTTAACAATTCCCATTTCAACTGTTGCATTAAAATTTGCATTTAGTATTGGGAGTAGAGCACTAGATCAGTATTGTAATTCATTGTTACCAGAAACAATTCAAGCTTTTTTGTTGTGCACATGAGATTGGCTATTTGGAAAAGGTGGTAATATATTTTTATATGGTATAGTACTATTGTTTTATTTCTTTTCATAATTATTTTGGTAAACTTCTCATAATTTGAATGACTTTTAATGTTTGGTTTTTCTATACTTAGTTTATGCAGAAGAGAGTTCTGATGTGGAAAACCTTACTGAAAACATCATCAACATAACTCTTGAAGGCAATAGATCAAGCCAAAGTTCCAATACAATTTCCTCATGATGATCTGTGAAACTTTAGGATTTTGTAAAAGGAATAACATGCAAGCTTTGAGTTCCATTGGCAAGGTTTTAAACTTTTGAGAAAGGCTTCACAACCTTGAAAACAACAACTCTTTCATTTTGCATATCCTTGCACATTTAATATTTTGTAATAGACTAGTAGTTATTAGGCTCTTATTTTTTATTGTAGATGTAGTACTTAAACGACAAATGTGTTTTAATGTTTTGAAGTTTTGTGGCAATGTGTGGTATGTGCAAATTTAAGAAAAAAAAAAATATTTTTCTTAACGGGTCATAACGGGTCGGGTCACTTTACCCGACCTGTTAAGGACCCGTTAAGATAATGGGTGTGACACGACCCGACCCGTTAAGATAACAAGTGTTACACGAAAATGACACGAACACAATAGACATGACTTGTTTGTCAGGCCTAGTAGTATGGTATGTTTTGAGGATGTATATCTTTGGCGTCATTTCTAAAAAATTTACCTAGGATATCACCAAATGGTGAAGTGAGGTACACCATCTATCCACTTTCTCTTACTACACCAGTTTTCCTTGCGTCTTTTCAAACAACCCCTACATCATTGTGAAAACTTAGTTACGAAAGTTTACCGATTTAGAATTTACCCCACCAAACACCTTATCTTGGGAATCTCAAATCTATTCACGAAGGCGAAAGACTAAACCTTGGGATCGTACCTAGATTTTAGCAACTTAATCGGGTGACGATTAAAATCATTAACCCATACTTCAAATTGATGGTCTACCTGGCCAACTTTTGGAACTCGAGTTTTCTCCTGTAACTTGTCGAATTTGTAGTAGTCTTACAGACGACTTTCTCACCTACCCTAGCAACGAGAGCAAATTTTCTAAGTACCGACAGTCAGCTTTATACCAAATTCGTCAAATATTACCGTTGTTTAGATCGGTACGTTAGTGACTCTTCAGCAGTGGTGTTTTTCCTTTCATGTTGGTTGAGGAAAATCAGTTTAGCTGAGACGTGGAATAAAATTAAAGTTGTGACAACCGAGGTGTTGTCTATTTATTACCCTTGTTCGTACGCTTTTAGATGACACCGATTATTTTGGAATCTACTGTGACGTTCCACTGAACGCTTGGGCTGCATACCGATGTAGCGTGACAAAGTATCGCTTATGTTTCCAATGGTTGGAACCGTACGAAATGAACTATCTTACTCATGACCTCAACTTAACAATTATCATTTTTACTTGAAAAAAGAAAACCCAAATCAACGTCTACGATTGCATTATTATGTATTACTCCGGTTGTGCAAGTGTAATTATTGTTTACCACAACAAAAGACATATATATCGTTGAACACTTTCAGCCTGTCTTATTTCATTCCAGCTGGAATTCATGATTGTTGATATGACGTTACTTACAAATCATTAAGAAATCGTTCGAGTGGTTATAATCACTTCTTGCATCCAAATAAAGATAGGGAAATATCACAATAAGCTCCTGGTACGAGGTATCTTGTACATGTGGAGATTATGATGATGTTTCGATGATTATAGATTGACTTAACAAGTCAACTCACTTTTCCGTTGGTTCAGATGGACAACATATAGATCTTTTGGTAAAATTGCTCATTCTTGAATTTATCAGATTTTCTGGCATTTCAATCAACATCTACTCTGATTGTGATTCCATATTCACCTCTTTATGCCAGAAGGCATTCCAATCATCCTTAGGTACGTGTCCTCCCCACTGCACTTCATATTATTTTTGATGCAGACAGACCGTATAGGAGAATTGCTCGGACATTAAAGTTTTAGTTGTGACCATTAATTACTCAATCACTTAACAAATACTCTGCTAAACAAATCTTTATGGTAGGTGATTGAATATTTCGGAAGCTATCATTGTAGCAATATATATACATGCAATATGCAATCCAGTTATCTTGTACTCTAGATTTGATGGACTTGTTTTGGTTCTTTCTTAAGTGTCTGTTTAGACTTTTCAGCGTAATTTTTCACTAAAGCTTAATGGAAATTCATAATGAATCTGCTCGCTAAGGCGTTATGAACTACATTATTCGATTACATGGTATGCATGTGACTTTTGTGCTCATCGTGATGCGCGTTTCACTTCCAAGTTTTGGGAAGTCTTCTTGAAGGCTATGAGTACAAAGTTGTTGTCCGGTACCACACTTCACCCTCAAACTAATGGCCAGTCTAAACGAACTATCCGGACCTTGTGGCATTTTGCGTTTATCTAATCTATAGTTTTAGAATGATTGTAGTAGACACTTATCTTTGTTAGAATTATGTGTAACTGCGGTTACTAGGGGTGGAAAAAATTCCCACAAATCCCAAACTGAATGAAAAAAATACAGATCCCAAACCAAAAATGTCCCAAACCGATTTTCCCAAAATTTTCGGTATGCTATCCAGAAAAAAATATTGAAATTTCAGTATGGGAATCGAGATTGTCTTCCCAATATTTCGGTATTTCCATACCGAACCGAAAATATATATTTTTAATTATTTATATATATATTTATACTGATAATATTAATAATATATGCCGTCCATTCCTTGTTAGGGATTCTCCCAGTCGAGTTGTTTCGATCTCATTTCTCACTTAGTCTCTCAGTTCAGCCTCTGAGAGCCTTCTCCTGAGTCTCCTCATCTCTGTCTCGACTCTCAAATCCAACTCTGGCCAGTCACCGGCCCACTACCACACGGAGCCACCGCTGTCTCTCTCCAACG